ATCGGGCTCCCTGCTCAGCGGGAAGCCTGCTTCTCCTCCCACTCCCCCTGCTTGTGTTCCTTCTCTCGCTTTGTCTCTCTCTGTCAAATAAATAAATAAAATCTTAAAAAAAAAAAAAAAGACTTGGGGCACTTGGGTGGCTCAGTTGGTTAAGCGTCTGCCTTCAGCTCAGGTAATGTTCCCGGAGTCCTGGGATTGAGCCCTGCATCGGGCTCCCTGCTCAGTGGGGAGTCTGCCTCTCCCTTTGCCCTCACCCCACTCAGTCCGTGTTCTCTCTAGAGTGGGGAATAGAAATGTGTGTTCCAGACAAAACCAGGTGATTGTTATGAGTACCTTGGTTAAGAACCACTTACCTAAGTTAAAAAAAACAAGTATTTTCACTCTAGGTTCCACACATTGTAGATTTTATATGATTCTTGCCATGTTACCACTTTTTGTTGGATAGAAATTTTCTTAGACCATCTATTTTCACGAATTTCCAAATTCTCTTCCTCGTTTCTAATCTGTCCCCTTCCTTCATATCTCTGCCACCAAGTAGGCATCCTAAAATTTGGCAGATCTCCCTCTCAGAACCCATCTTGGTAATTTAAGTAAACATTTCTATTTGCTCTGTAAATTAGCATCTAGCATACATTTTTGTCAGTTTAGCAGTTTGTCACAATATTGCCTTGTGATGGGAAAGCACTGGTCAGAGATCACATCACACTATTTTATGGGTTCTACATGCCAGGCAATGTAGTGAATTTCCATGGATCCTTGATAAATACTTAAATACCAACTAAACTGTATACTTAGATATATTTTTCTCAGTTTTACGCTACATTCTGAGTTTTCCCTCCTGTTTCACCTTCCCAGATTTGTTTACTAATTCTCTACCATTATAACCTAGTAAGATAACTTTATAAGATTTTCCTTAAAAATCTTATTTCTTAAATGCTTTTCTCTTCTTGGATAAAAGCAAACAGTAATATCTTGATCATTCTGAGGAGTAGTTGATTTCTAATACATTTTGTCATAGTTTTAACACAAAACATATAAACTTGTATGTTTGAATTATTAATAAGGAACGTGAGCTAAGCAAGGCTGAGAAAAACAGCAATGTAGAAGCTCTAAAAACAGAAGTAATAAGTCTTCAAAATGAGAAAGCAGACCTAGACAGGACCCTGCGTAAGTTGGACCAGGAGATGGAACAGTTAAACCATCATACAACAACACGCACCCAGATGGAGATGCTGACCAAAGACAAAGTACGACCTTTCTTTGTGTTTTAATTATACTTTCTGGTATTTAAAATAATTTACATTTGTAATAGATGCACTATGAAATATTTAAGTGGTGTTGGCATTATATTTTAGGAGTTAAGTGAGCTTAATACTCTATAAGACTTTGGAGCTTAAAAACCTGTTTTCTAATTACAAAAAATAATACAGAAGTATATATACACATGCCCATTGCTATTAATATTTATCATATACAGAAGTTTTAATTTTTATTATTGTCAGACTTGTTACTTTTTTCTCTTATGGCACAGAAAGGCAATTCCCACTGTGAGACTTCTGAAATTTTGCATTTTCTTCTTTCATTTTCATTGTTTTATTTTTTTAAGCCTAGAATTGTAGTCTAGAATTTATTTTTGTTAATAGCTGGCTTAGTTGGTAGAGCATGTAATTCTTGATCTCAGAGTTGTGAATTCGAATTTATTTTTGTTCTTGATACAATATGGAGATCTTGGACTTTATTTAAAAAAATTTTTTTTTCGGGTGCCTGGGTGGCTCAGTTGGTTAAAAAAATTTTTTTTTCTATAGGCTGACAAAGATGAACAAATCAGAAAAATAAAATCTCGACACAGTGATGAATTAACTTCATTGTTAGGATATTTTCCCAACAAAAAACAGCTTGAAGACTGGCTTCATAGTAAATCAAAAGAAATTAATCAGACCAGGGACAGACTTGCCAAATTGAAGTAAGTAATTGTCACATTTGGAGATGTACTACAGATTCTCATTTTTCATTGCTTGAATTGTTTTATTATTTATTGTTATAAAGTGGTATGTCCTATGTTAATTGACTTTGGTTCTGCTGTATTTTATCAGTCAAGTAAAGTGATGACATTAATTTGGGCCTTTTGTTCCTTGAAAGTTTGCAGAACTTAGAGGATTAAAATTCTCCTTTATAAAAAGTGAGGCCTGACACTATAAAACTCTTAGAAGAAAATTTAGGGGGAAGGCTTCATTATATTGAAATTGATAAATATTTTCTTGGACCTGACACCAAAAGCACAGGCAGCAAAAGCAAAAATAGATAAATGGGACTACGTCAAACTTAAGAACTTCTACAAAGCAAGGAAACAACTGGGAAAAGGCAACTGACGGAATGGGAGAAAATATTCAAACCACTTATCTAATAAGTGATTATTATTTAGGATATGTAAATAACTCCTAAAATTAACAACACAAAAACAAATAATTGGATTTTAAAATGGGCAAAGAACTTGAATAGTCATTTCTCCAGAGACCATATACAAATGGCCAGTGAGCAAATGAAAAAGTGCCTAATTCATCAGGGAAATGCAGATGAAAACCACAATGATGTATCACTTCACACCAGTTTAGGATGGCTACTACCAAAAACAAAAAAAACCAAAATAACAAATATTGGTGAGGATGTTGAGAAATTGGAACCTTTGTACATTGTTAGTAGGAGTATGAAATGGTACAGCTGATAGAGAAAATAGAGGATCTTCAAAAAAATTAAAAAGAGAATTACCAGATGATCCAGCAGTTCCATTTCTGAGTATATATTCAAAAGCATTGAAAACATGATCTTGAAGAGATTTTTGCAAATCCATGTTCATTATAGCATTATTCTCAGTAGCCAGATGAATGGATAAAGATTCAGTGTGTGTTTGTGTATAATGATACTACTCAGCTTTAAAAAAGGAAATCCTGGGGGCGTCTGGCTGGCTCAGTCGAGCATGTGACTCTTGCTCTCCAGATTGTGAGTTCAAGCCCCACGATGAGTGTAAAGCTTACCCAAGGGTGGGGGTGGGCAGGAAATCCTGTCCTGCTACAACTTGGATGAACCTTGAGGATATTATTGCTAAGTAAAATAAGCTAGTTACAAAAGGACAAATACTGTGTGATTCCACTTACATGAGGTACCCAAAGTAGTCAAACTCTTGAAAACAGAAAGTAGAAAGATGATTGCCAGGAAGTGGGAGAGCGGGGGAAGGGGAATGGTTATTCAATGGTTACAGAGTTTCAGTTTTACAAGATGTAAAAGCTTTAGAGATATGTAGCACAGCCATGTGTATATAGTTAACACTACTGCACTGTGCACCTAAAAAATGGTTAAGATGGTAAATTTTATATAATGTTTGGTTTTTGCCACAATAAAGACGTGATCACGTTTTTTAATGTCACTTTGGTGGTTGGGTAAAAGAGTCAAAAATTCTGTACAGATATTTGAGGAAGGTAGTGGATCTGGCTTTGGCCATGTTTCATTTGTTTCTTAGGGAAATGTGTCTTAGGGAATAGGTTATTGGAGTTTGAAGTTCAAGAGATTGGAAGTTGTTGCTTTGTAAGTAATAATTAGAGTCATTTGTATAGGCCGTATCACCTTAAAGGGGTTATGCAAAGAGAAGAAAAACGGTTATAGTCAGATGCCTGGGAAACAGCAGCGTTTACTGTTGGTAAGCAATGCAAGAGGAGCAAGTGAAGGAAACTAGAATTCACGGAGCTAGGGTGAGAGCCAGACCGGAGTAGTTCTTGAAACCTTGAGTAAATAGACCTTCAAGGAGGGGGTCAGCAGTGTTAGGTGCTAAGATAGTGATGTTGATGAGCATGGCTCAGTGGCTAGGATGGTCAAAGCATCACCTATATTGTTACTTCTTTTTGCCTTATTTTTACTGTGATTCTCAAAATGGGAAGTATCAAGATGTAGCACACATGCACTCATACACATTCATCTGAAACAAGTTTCTCAAAATAGCATGTGTCCTAATTATGCTCAGTCTGCTCCAATGTATTTTATTCTTTTTAATTTTTTTTAAGATTACGAATATGATCTATTATATTGATTACATGGCTTTCCCAGTGCATCATAACCTGCAAACCCTGATCTATGTTGGTGTGAAGGTTGGCTAGGATGATATTTAAGAGTTGGAATGGAGAGGGGCACCTGGGTGGCTCAGTCGTTAAGCGTCTGCCTTCAGCTCAGGTCATGATCCCAGGGTCCTGGGATCAAGCCCCGCATCGGGCTCCCTGCTCTGCGGGAAACCTACTTCTCCTTCTCCCGCTCCCCCTGCTTGTGTTCCCTCTCTCGCTGTGTCTCTCTCTGTCAAGTAAATAAATAAAATCTTTAAAAAAAAAAAAAAAAGTTGGAATAGAGATGAATTGTATTAGTGAGCAAAGTCTTTGATGAATGAGAGGGAATGGATGATGACGTAAGTAGATAACAGCAACAAGGAAGGGATAAAGGAGAAGTTCTTACAGGAGTGGAGGGAAGTGATACTGTGAAAGGGTCCAAAGGGAATCAGGTGAATGTTCTCCTTTTCTCTTCTCTCTCTCTCCAGTATGTCCCACAAGCATATTCTTGCTGAGGTTCCTAACCTAAGATCTAAGACCATGAACCCCCAGGAATCACACAGGCCCATGACCAGGCTTAGAAAGTGATCAGTGTCCAGGATGGAGTTCAGGCAGAAGTGGACTGTTACCTTGACTTCTAAAAAAAGTACTTAGTCACAGCAAACCTTTGTAATATTTATTGGCAGAATTTGTTTTTATCTACCTACTCAAACTTTTCAAACTCATTTCTCATGTAGTAAAATTGTAATCCATATTTGTTCTTATTTTAGCAAAGAACTAGCTTCAGCTGAGCAAAATAAAAATCATATAAATAATGAACTAAAAAGGAAAGAAGAGCAGTTGTCCAGTTATGAAGACAAGCTGTTTGATGTTTGTGGTAGCCAGGATTTTGAAAGTGATTTAGACAGGCTTAAAGAAGAAATTGAAAAATCCTCAAAACAGCGAGGTAAGTTACCTTCTTTATATTATCAAGGTGCTTTGACACTTGAATTTTCACTCCTCAGTAGCTAATAAGGATGGGAGATTTAAAAATTTGGTTCTGGAGGCAAAGGGCTTAAGTTTCAATCCCGGTTCTACAGCTTAATGGTTTTGTGACTTTGGGCAAATTATCAAATGATTCCTTTACTTCAGATTCATCTCAGGACATAATTGCCTACCACTTAGGGTGTTAAGAGTAAATGAGATTATAGGTATAAAGCTCTTAGAACAATTTCTGGTACACAGTATGCTCCCAAAATTTTGTTACACTTTTTGTGTGTTACCAGAAAGTAATTTATACAAATCTGAATGTATTGTGCCCTTTCAAAGAATATGTAAATATGAGAGGATTTTTATTTCTTTCATAATATGTTTATAAATGATCCTATATATATGGAAAATGATAGAACCATAATGACAAAACTGTATTTTATCTTTTTCTCACTGGTAATACATTTATTTTCTTAAAATAGCCATGCTGGCTGGAGCCACAGCAGTATACTCCCAATTCATTACTCAGCTAACAGATGAAAACCAATCATGTTGCCCTGTCTGTCAGAGGGTTTTTCAGACAGAAGCTGAATTACAGGAAGTCATCAGTGATTTGCAGTCTAAGCTGCGGCTTGCTCCAGATAAACTGAAGTCAACAGAATCTGAACTAAAGAAAAAAGAAAAACGGCGTGACGAAATGCTGGGACTTGTCCCTATGAGGTGAGAGTAGGGATTTACTGGTACTGTACCTGAACAGCGGCAATGTAAAAGGTGCCCCTCCAGTCCCTGGCATGTGGTGGGTGTTCAGTAATGGGTTGAATGAATAAAAGTTCAAGTCAAGATTCTGAGCCAGTGTGCCCCATTTCGTGTTCTTTATAAGACAAAGCAATTATTGGGGTCCCTGGGTGGCTCAGTCAGTTAGGTGTCTGCCTTCAGCTCAAGTCATGGTCCCAGGGTCCTGGGATTGAGCCCCACATCGGGCTCCCTGCTCAGCGGGGAGTCTGCTGCTCCCTCTCCTTCTGCCCCTTTCCCCTGCTTATGTTTGCTCTCTCTCAAGTTAGTAAAATCTTAAAAAAAAAAATTATTTAAAAGTAAACAAACTTCTTAAACTAGTCACAGGGTAGTTATAATCTTTACTATTTTCTGTGTGTGCATGTGTGTGTGTGTGTGCACGCATGTGTGTTAATATAATTCCTGAGACTTGGCTTGAGGGCAGAAATTTTGACAGATTGAGAACTGTTTGCTGTTCTGTCACTTTCTAAATTCAAAAGAATTAAAAGTACTAAAAACCTCCCCCAACAGATGAATTTTAAACTCTATTTTTATGTCTTTTCTGCTTTCAAAAAGAATGAATCATCCTGATTTCTCTTATTTTTCTCTCACTTATTCAAGAAATCCAAATGATGGTCTGTTTATAAATAAAATCGTCAGAAAGTATATGATGATGCCTTGGGGTCTTCCACAACATAGATCATAAAGCTAGTCACAGAGACCAGTATGACATAATCTTTAAGGAGCTGATGGTCTGAGTAAGGAGACAAGCTCTCAGAATTGAATATTTAGAAAGCTGGGCCTAATAAAGTTCTTAATTGGCTCAGACAAATACATTAGTTAAGAGGAGAGAAGCCAGTTGACTACAGAATGAGAATAAGATTTTGAGACCATAATAGGAGGGGAATGTGAAGCATAGGGAAGTTGGTTCGACTCCGTTAACAATGTAGAGAGAAATGAGAGCACTCTGTGTAAAGGGAAGAGGAGTCTGAGCTGTGCTGCAATAGAAAGGTGATCTAAAGTCGGAGGAACCATTTGGGGAGATGGATTCCCATAAGTTGAGAAGATAGGGCTATGTTATGTTCAGGCCTAGTTACAACTCTCACTGATAGGGGATTTAATGGAAAACGTGTTTTAAGAAATTAATCTTATGTTAATATATTGAATGGTTAAGACTGAGACAACTCTGGAGCAGAAAAGCCAGGAGGGTATGTTGTCTAGAAAACTGTGAAGAGGAATTTCAGGAAGAGTCTACAAAGATATGCTTTGTGATAGCCAGCCTCCAAGATGATGCCCAGTGATCCCTGCCTCCTGGTATTCATGCTCCTGTATAGTCTCGCATGTTCCAAGACTGGTCTATGAAACTGGTAAGTTATGACAGAAGTGATAGCAAGATTAGGTTCTGTAAGGCACTACGGCTGCCTGCTCTCCTTTTCTAATTGGATGTGGGTGAAGCCAGCTGCCACGTGAGCCACCCTGTGAAGGGCCCCACTTGACAAGGAACTGAGGCCTTCAACCACGTGAGTGAGTACCATTTGGAAACTGATAATGCAGTTGCAGTCAGACGTTCACTGCGGTTATCTCGAGTCTCTCCTAGGCTCAGTGTTCAAGGTGGCTCACTGAAATGATTTGCAGTGACACTGTTGGCTGGGAGCCCAGCTGGGGCTGTCGAACACAGTACCTTAGCATGGCCTGCATGTGTGTCTTGGGATTTTGATAGCATAGTGGTTGGATTTCCAAATGAAGGATCCTAAGGCAAGAAGTCCAAAAGACAGGCAGTAGAAGCTGCTAGTATCTGAAGGCATAGGCCCAGAAACTGGCCTTGTTACTTCCGCTATTGTCTGTTGGTCAGAGGAGTCCTGGAGCTTGCCAGGATTCAGTGAGAGGACACAGACTCCACCTCTCATTGGGAGGAGTGTCAAAGTATTTGCGGCTAACTTTAATCCATACAGTACCCTGGGATCTGGAGTGGCACCTACATGCCATCCTGGTCACCACACACAAAGTAAGGTAACCTGAAGCTAGACAAATAAGTGTGTAGTCGGACAGGTAAATCAGTGCCTTGGAAAAAAATACAGCGGGATAAGGAAGTAGAGAATTAACTGAGGGTTGGTGAGAGGGGAATTGCTATGAAGGTGGCATTTGAGTATAGGCCTGAGAGAAGTAAGGGAGCTAGCCATGCATTTGTCCAGGAGAAGAGTGTTCCAGGCAGTACAGAATCCCTGAGGCCAGAGGGAAAAGTGGTTGAAGGTGAGCTCAAAGAGCTAGTGAGGAGCCACATCTGGCTTACCCTCTCTGAGGAAAATATTTTCATTTATTTATTTGTTTTTAAGAATTCATTTATTTATTTGACAGAGACACAGCGAGAGAGGGAACACAAGCAGGGGGAGTGGGAGAGGGAGAAGCAGGCTTCCTGCGGAGCAGGGAGCCCGATGCTGGGCTCGATCCCAGGACCCCGGGATCACGACCTGAGCCAAAGGCGGCAGATGCTTAATGACAGAGCCACCCAGGCGCCTGAAAATATTTTCATTTAAAGGCCAAAGTTCATCAACACTTAATGTAAGACTACCATTGTGAATGAAATCTCAGATTAAAATATACCTGTTTATCATTTTGCTTATTAGTACTGAGTTAGGTTTATTATAACATTTCAGTTAAATAAAAACTCAGTATTTTGCTCCGTTTCTTTGAAAGATTTTTTCAACCAACCATATCTTTGTTGGTTTCTTTTACATAAAATCCCCTTGGAAAGGGAATGCTGTCACAAAAACAGATGAACTGAGTTTGTGAAAATTTTACAAAACAAAATAGAATCCTAATAGATCTCAATAACCCCTTCTTTTGGGAAACATCTTCACTCTTTCTTATACTTATTTTAGCATTTAGCATCTTAGGTAATCATCAGAAAAGAAGGCACCAAAACCCCAGACCACACTGATAAGAGGTTATTTAAAAGTGTACATGTGAAAATGTAAAAATAGGGTTAAAATTGAATGGATACCTATAATTCTCCACAAAGATGTCCCCATTCAAGTGAATGCTTGACTGTCATTAGGCTGTCCTAGCTATGTCACTTTTTAGGCACTGGGAACATACTTTAAGACCAACTGGGCTATGACCACAGGGTTCAGGAAGTAATGTGGGTATGGAACTATTCATAATCTGTATACCTTCATAATTTACTCAGGAAATTTTTTCATCTCAGTGGCATAACAAACTAGGTCTTCTGTCGCCCCAGATCAGTTCAGGTTGGCATTTCTTGGTCGTAGTGTGGACTTTTTAAAAAATCATTAAGTAGTAGCAGTATGCAAGAGCTAACCCTTGAGTTTCTGGTTTTTCCTTTGACTCCATTAGAAATTAATTTATTGTACTAATTTATAATTAAGAATTTAGAATTTTTCAGAAATCAGGTTAATAGCTTTTTTTTTTAAGATTAAATACAAGTTTTATTGTTTCAGAGGTGTCAACAAAAATAGATAGGGAGCCAGTACCTGCCACAGGAATTGTAATCCATTCACAGTAGTAGCAGCAATAAACTGGTTAGCAGCTTTTTTACTATAAACCCATGTATCATTTGGCTGAGTGGTCTCCTTCCTTCCTTTCCATTATTTGTTTTAACTTTTTATTTTGAAATAATTTTAGACTTACAGAAAAATTACAAAAAGAGTACAGAGAATCCACCTATACCCTTCACCTCACTTTTCTTGATGTTCACAATTTATATAACCATAAATAAGTTATCAAAATCAAGAAATTAACATTTGTGTGTCTCTGTTAACTACAAAGCATATTAGAATTTCAGCAGTCTTTCCATTAATGTTTTTCTGTTTCAGGACCCAACCCAGGATCCCACATGGCATCTAGTTGTTATTTCTCCTTAGGTTCCTGCAGTCTTCAGCTCTTCAGAGTCTTTGTCTTTCATGATCTTGACACTTCTGGTCAGTATAGTCAGTTAATTTATAGAAAATCTCTCAGTTTGGCAAACATCACAGTAATACAGTAGTCCCTCTTATCTGTGCTTTCCGTCTCTACTGTTTCTGGTACCTGAGGTCAACTGTGGTCCAGAAGCAGATGATCCTCCTGACCTGTCATTATGTTAACAGTAGCCCAACTTGAAGTCACAAGGCCTACATCATTGTCCTCACTTCTTATCATCACATAGGCGTTTTATCATATAACATTACCTTAAGAGGGAGGGAGGCCTCGTACAGTACAAAAGATATTTTTTTAAATTTTATTTATTTCAGAGAGAGAGAGAGTGTGCACACTTGAGTGAGGGTAGGGGCAGAGGGAGAGAATCTCAAGCAGACTCCCCACTGGCGCAGACCCTGACTCAGGGTTCGATCCCATGACCCATGAGATCATGACCTGAACCGAAATCACCAGTCGGACACTGCACCAACTAAGCCAGTCAGGTGCCCCTGTACAATAAGATGTTGTGAGAGAGACCATATTCACATAACTTTTATTATAGTATATTGTCATTGTTTAATTATTAGTATTGTTAATCTCTGTGCCTAATTTATAAACTCTATCACAGATATGCCTATAGGAAAAAACGGTATATGTAAGGTTTGGTACTATCCATGATTTCAAGCATCCACTGGGTGTCTTGGAATATATCCCCTGGGGATCGGCGTGGCAGCGGGGAGACTATTGTAATTATTGTAAGCAGGATCTACCATTGGATACTGAAATCAGTGGGCAAAAGTTTGAGGAGAAGCAAGATACTGACATAGTCCCAATATATTTCTCCTAAGATCATTATTAATTATAAAGACAAAAATAGTAACTTTATAGTGGATAAAACTGGCTGACACCATGTTAACCAAGTGAGTAAGATTAACATCTCCAGTAATAAAATATAATGACATCATGTGCCCATTGATATGATGCCCTGAGAAGGATACAATCACTTATGATACTCTTGCCAAAAATGCATAACCTCCGTTTCATGATAAGAAAACATTAGAGAGCTTATTTTTAATTGTGTGTTCTCTGTTTAGGCAAAGCATAATTGATTTGAAGGAGAAGGAAATACCAGAATTAAGAAACAAACTGCAGAATGTCAATAGAGACATACAGCGCTTAAAGAATGACATAGAGGAACAGGAAACACTCTTGGGCACAATAATGCCTGAAGAAGAAAGTGCTAAAGTCTGCCTGACGGATGTTACAATTATGGAGAGGTTCCAGGTAAGTTTATTATACTTGAAGGCCAAATAAAACTTGTTTCATGGTGGTTTGAATGTGAAATGTGCGAGTGTTAAAAACAAACAGATAGTATACAGGTATGGGTTGAGTTTAGAGTTCCCGGTCCTGAATTGCAGATAATCTGAGGGGAGTACTGCTTAGTTTACGTTTCTGGTTTTGGATTGTTTATTCATAGATACGAGAATTAAGAAATGTCCTGTTTGTTTTCATTTTTAGTTGGTTTCCTTTTGTTTATATATTTAAATTATTAAAAACTTATCATCTTA